TCCACGGGGAAAGGCCAAAGTTAATGATGATATTGTGAGAGGAAACGTACCTCATGAAAATCAAACTCCGGATCTTGGGCTTTTGAGAATCCATAAACATGGATCTTTGGCAAGGTAATTTCTCTCTGCTTGGGCTTTGTTCTAAATATTCCCCTGAATACATCTGCAATAATTGGGCAAAATATTGAGAGAGAGAACAATTGAATGCTAATGTCTGCAATTTTGAAAATCGTAACATATTCTGTGGTTTCCATTATCTACTCCATTCCTTGAATAACTCCAACACCTTCTCCACTCTTTTCTATATGACATTCAGGTAATAATTTTGAATGACTAAATTACTGATCATAGCGATATCTTTGAATCTTTAAACTGTTGCCATCCAAGTGCCACATGCTGATGGAACTGAACTTTTTACAATCCTAAGAGAAATGCATGATGAAGACTGTTCACTGAATATAATCTTACTTCCTCATAAGAGGTCCCCAATAAACACAACTCAAAAATCCTATTTTCAAAGTGATTATGAAGGAGTTAACCAGAGCCAAAGTAGGCCATAGCAAAGTACCTTATTCAGCTAGCCAGAATAAGAATCCTGTACCTAATGTTGTAATGCTATTCCCAGGGCTTCTGTCCCATGATAAATTCACAAGAAAAGTTAGCCACCTTGAAACTATATCACATCATATGTCCTATTTAAAATTTAATACATCAATTCCTAAGTCCAAGGATAGAACTCAATAAGTAATTATTACCATCTAAATCCTTCACAATACATCACCTAGTAAGTAGCATTTAAAATGGTAGCACAGTAAAATGGAAAAGCTATACGAGCAACTCTCAATATTTAATTTCAGAATACAAAACTTCACTGCTGAAAGAAGAAGACAATTTATGCTCTATCAGAATAATTACATACCTAGATACTCTGCAGCGTCATTTGGCAAATTCATAACCACTTGTGTGATGGATTGAGCTTTTTGACTTGCAAACATAGCATCAATGAACCTCCTTCCATCCATGTTAAAAACCTAGACATACAAAAACAAAATAATTAAGCCCACATGATACAACTTCGTCGAATGCAAGTTGCAGATATATAAATATACACACTTTCTAAATTGAAAAATGAATCTATGAAAACCATTAAACAATAATTGCATGACAAGCTAAATTCATACTTCTATCTTCCTCTCAAGTTTGTTGAGGACACAATTCCTTTCCAGATATTCAACCGCAAAGGGGTTTAAATCATTAGCAAATACATGTTTCACTTTTCTTGCTGCAGATATAGCTATCGGACCAACCCCAGCAAAAACATCACCTGTTAATAGTGAAGAGGAAAAAAGTATACACTACGGAGTCAGAGACTGCAGTATGCTAGTGGAAAACAGCAGAAAATATGATGCAACTGAGCGAACATAAACATACAAACAACATCATAACATGTGAAGCAATTCAGAAGCCTCTGCCTTTCAGTTGCTAGCCTCGAATTCCAATACCTGCATAAAACAATAGGAAAAAGTAAATCCAATTAATATTAAAAATAAAAAATAAAAATCATTATTCTTTTGTTTTAGATCCTTGTTTCTAGACTTCTTAGAAAGACAATTAACGTTCTACATGATGAACAGTAGAGTTCAAAATATATTGAGAGAACTCGTGCACCAATAGTTATAGCCTTCAATAAAATTTTGGCTTCTGGTTAAAACATACAGGGAGGAACGTATTCTGGATGTGCCTAAATTGAGTCTTCAAAGCAAAACAACCTAAAAATCCTCAAATTCATCTTCAAGTGTGAATAAGTTTAGTATTAGACACCTAATTGCATAATATTTTTACTGAGAGTAAATCACGTCTTAATTCAAAATGCCTAAACATTAACCAGAAGCAGTTGGCTGTCAGTCAAAATCAACAAACGTTAATCATCAAGAGTTATGGTAGCCTACTTCAACACTGCAAAATGTGGTGCACCAGCTCCTCATAATTTAAACCTTTGAACCTCCAATTTCGTTTTGCCTATATGATATAGGATCTAAAGACAAAGCTACTAACCATGTATGCTATTCCGCACAATTCACTAGCGATTGTATCATGACTCAATCTCGTGTCAATGAACAATAGTCCAGATGTCTCCGACAGTATTGAGGGTTTAGTGGAGTAGGTGAGGTGGTAGTGGTGGTAGGTGATGAATGGTGGTAGTGGTGTAGTGGGTTAGGTTTAGTGGAGTAGGTGAGGTGGTAGTGGTGGTAGGTGATGGTAAATTCTAACAGCCCCCCGCAAACTCAAGGAGGATAGAAACTAACCAACTTGAGTTTGAAGAGAGGAACAAAACAAGAAAATACATAAAAAAAAAAGAGGATAGGAGACACTGTATGGTCGTGTCAGACCGTTGGTGAAGCCACTGGATGGTGGTGGCATAACGTTGTAGAGGACACTGTATGGGGGTGTCATAACCATGTAGAGGACACTGTATGGTGGTGTCATACCGATGTAGAAGACAGTTTATGGGGTCATGTCGGACCGTTGTAGCTGACAATGTTGTGACAGTTGTTGTGACAGTTCACAGAGTCTTGCTGGACCCTTGTAGAAACTAACCGGAATCAATGTCGGGACAGTTTACAGAGTCTTGTCGGACCCCTAAAGGAGCTAACCGGAATCAATGTCGGGACAGTTTACAGAGTCTTGTCGGACCCTTGTAGAAACTAACCGGAATCAATGTCGGGACAGTTTACAGAGTCTTGTCGGACCCATAAAAAGTCGCACCCTCAAAAGGTGTGCCCAATTTTTCAAAAGACGTGCCCAATCCATAAAAAGGCGTGCCATCAAAAAGCGTGCCATCAAAAGACGGGCCATCAAAAGGCGCGCCCATGTCATAAAAAGATGTGCCGGACATGTTGGCGAGACACGTGAGCGCCTTGGCTTGCGCGCCCGTGTTGTCGTCTGTCGGCAAGTGGCGCGCGATGCACGGATCGGCCCTGGCTATTTAAACCAAGGGTGAAGCGGAGGCTGTGCATACCAGTCTGAAACCGCTGAAATCAACCCGTCTCTGAAAAAAAACTCTGCCTCTTCGGAGAGAGAGATACTCTGTAACACTCTGTTTTCTGAGAGAGATTCCTGAGAGAGACACTCTGTAACACTCTGTAACCAACCCGTCTCTGAAACACTCAGCAACATGGCCTCTTCTTCCCGTCCAGCTACCCAGAACATGGCCTCCTCTTCCCGTGGTGAGTCAGGAATCATCTCAGAAAATGTCAGAGGCTTTCCGGGTTTCATGAGAACCTGAACAGAGAATGTCAAAGGAATGCAATTTAAGTCATATGTCTGCCTTCTACTGATTATTGAAGCATGAGAAGTGAGAACTATGTATTTGATGCAAAATCATATACGTAAATAGTAGTATTAAGAAAGCATTCTAAGATGCTTTGTGGTCAGTCAAGTTAGTGGTATTTTTGTCATTTCGAGCTTAGAAACTTTGGTAGTTCTAGTTGAGTCTAAGTCGGGTATTTTGGTATCTTTGGGGGCATTTTTTGTATTAAGGTCAAGTTTTGGTGGTCTTTTTCAAATTTTTTATTATTTAAAAATTTTTATGTAATTTTTTGTATGACTATGGGGTTGCACCAAGAATCAACCTTAAGTCCTTATCTTTTTACTTTAGTTATGGATAAATTGATAAGAAATATTCAAGATAATGTGCCATGGTATATGCTTTTTGCAGATGATATCGTGTTAGTAGATGAAACTAGAGAAGGAGTTAACACTAAGTTGGAGACTTAGAGAGAAGCACTAGAATCTAAAGGATTTAGGATAAAAGGAGCTGAAGCGGAAGGCCACCGTGATGTTCCGTTTTGGTGGTCCGCCATATTCTGCAGTGGAGGAGCAGGGAGTAGTGATCATGCCCAGTGGAGTGGGAAATACGGAGGCAACACCGGTAAGGGCCGCCCAGGACGGAGGCAAGAAGAAAAGACCGGCGGAATAGGCGAAGAAGTGAGGTCGGTGTGTGGCCGTCTCAGCCATGTGAACCCACGTTAAGCATCTTCAAATGGAGGGCCCCACCTAAAAATGATAAGGAACTTCAGGCGGGAACAAATCCACTCAAACACGCCAAACAACTGTCACGAAATTCAGCCCACAGTTTTTCAAAAACAAATGCCAAACCAGTGGTATACAACTACACGGTATTGCACTACCACATGTTCTGCAGACCACACATGAACCAAAGCCCAACACGCTTGGTGCGCGTGAGATTGCCTTCCTCTTCTTGACCAGGAACGACTGTCAGCCACACAACCACAACGCTGGTGAAAAACAAGTCGTGCTCTCTGTAGCAATGACCCCAACCAATCGAACCAGTTCAGCCCAAAAAACTTCTCTGAATGCCCTCACAGAGACGATAGCAACGGTAAACGTACCATCGCCAAGAACACGCTGCCAGCACCATAAAACAGTGCCAGAAATAACTAGCAAAATTCTGGCGAGGCTACACCAAGACAGAACCTTCACTAGAACCTCATTGTCAACTTTCTCTCTCTAGGACTGGAGAAAGAGAGGCTCTGTAAATACTCAGTGATGATACAAAACACGGTGGGTTTGTTACATGCTGCAACAAATAGTTGATCCACCAACTGTGCAAGCATCATCAGCATCGCCAAGAGGATTTTGTGTGGGAAGGTCGGGAAAGTGAAGGTATGTGTAGAAAAATTCCAGCGGGCAGCGAAGGCAAGGTTGCCGGCCGGCTGCCCGCCGGTGAGAAAACAAAATACGGGCCTAAATCTTATTGCTCTGATACCATGTAATAATTTATGTATTATTGATTGATGTTTATTGAACTATATTCTGTCTATTACAAATGGTTCCTTATATAGATGTAGGTGTAGTGGATGTAGGTGTAGTGAATGGTAGTAGTGGTGTAGTGGGTTAGGTTTAGTGGAGTAGGTGAGGTGGTAGTGGTGTAGTGGGTTAGGTTTAGTGGAGTAGGTGAGGTGGTAGTGGTGGTAGGTGATGGTAAATTCTAACAGAGAGCATAAAATTATGTGCACGGTCTCCAAAAATATGCTCACATTATTGCATCAGGAAATTCCTGTTGTCTTTCAAGTTTCACCTAGTTTGCATTCTTCAACCGTGACGGATAAGGATCCAACAGATATTTTACCACGCATTAAGAATTAAAAACTCAAATAAGTGATCAAGTGGAAATAATGTGAATTCTAATCCGTAGAAATGAATGTTGAGCAGTCAAAACTTCTGGTGTGTTATGAAGCTTGAGTAACCAGCTTAGGGTATGATAGAATATCACCCCTTATTTATAAATGAAGATTAGGGTTTACAAGAAATACAATTACAAGATGATCCCTGAGAGCATAAAATGATTACAAACCCTAATGTAACTTTCGGCTAATATAATATGCTAACACTTTCGGCTAATATAATATGCTAACACTCCCCCTCAAGCTGGTGCGAAGATATCTCTCATGCCCAGCTTGCCTAATATGTCATGAAATGGTTTAATCCCAACCCCCTTGGTGAGAATGTCAGCAAGTTGTTCACTAGACTGGACAAAAGGAGTACAAATGGTACCACTAGTGAGTTTTTCCTTAATGAAGTGGCGATCAATCTCAACATATTTTGTCCTGTCATGTTGGACTGGATTGTGAGCGATGTTGATGGCGGCCTTATTATCACAGTATAACCGCATGGAGTCCGTCTGATCAATACCTAGATCACTCAACAATAACTTGATCCATAAAAGTTCACACACACCTTGTGTCATAACTCTAAACTCAGCTTCTGCACTTGACCTGGCAACCACATTCTGTTTCTTACTCCTCCAAGTAACTAGGTTGCCTGCCGCCAACAAATGTGCAATACCCTGAAGTTGATCTCCTATCAGTTACTGACCCAGCCCAGTCAGCATCTGTATAGGCTTCTACACGAAGATGATCATACTTTGAAAAATGCAGACCCTTACCAGGAGCAGACTTCAAATACCTCAAGATTCTCATGACAGCCTTAAAGTGAATCTGATGAGGAGCATGCATAAACTGACTAACTACACTGACAGCAACAGCAATATCAGGACGGAAGTGAGATAGGTAAATGAGCTTACCCACTAATCGTTGATAGCTCCCCCTATCCACAACTTCTCCTCCTTCATCATCCCCCAATTTCTGATTGGGTTCCAGTGGGGTGGCACATGCCTTGCAGCCAAGCATCCCAGTTTCCTTCAACAGGTCAAGCACATATTTTCTCTGTGAGATAAATATTCCATCCTTAGAGCGAGCAACTTCAATTCCCAGAAAATACTTCAAGCTTCCCAAGTCTTTGATTTCAAACTCTTTAGCTAAATATTTCTTCAACAGAGGTATTTCCCCACTATCATTGCTTGTAAGTACTATGTCATCTACATAAACAATAAGTGTTGTAGTCTTACCGCGTGAGGAATGTTTCACAAACAATGTGTGATCTGCCTGACTTTGTTTGAAGCCATATTTAAACATAGCCTGAGTGAATCTTTCAAACCAAGCCCTTAGAGACTGTTTGAGACCATATAATGACTTCCGAAGTTTGCATACTTTGCCTTCTGTTTGATGATCCTCAAAACCCGGAGGAATGTCCATATATACTTCTTCTTCGAGGTCACCATGGAGAAAAGCATTCTTGACATCAAACTGATAAAGCGGCCAATCTAGATTAGCTGTTAGAGAGAGAAATACTCTGACTGAATTCATTTTAGCCACGGGTGCAAAGGTCTCCTGATAATCAATGCCATATGTCTGAATAAACCCTTTTGCCACAAGTCTTGCCTTGTAACGCTCAATAGACCCATCTGCTTTGTGTTTCACAGTATATACCCATTTACATCCCACAGTCGTTTGCCCGTAGGTAACTCAGTCAATTCCCAAGTGCCATTCTTCCTAAGTGCTTTCATTTCCTCAATCATGGCTACTTTCCACTCAGAGGTAGCAAGAGCATCCTGAAAATGGTTAGGAATGCTAACAGAGGAAATATTGGACACAAACGCTCTATATGAGGATGACAAATGAGAGTATGATACAAACTGGGAGATAGGATGTTGAGTACAAGATCTCACACCCTTCCTTTTGGCAATAGGAACATCAAGATCAATGGACTCGAGAGATTCAAAGTTACCTCGACTCTCATCAGAAGCAGGAGATGGCAGTGGAGTAACAGAAACGGTCCCGTGTATCTAGTTAACTTGTTTTCTGTCTATGTCCCGGACATAAACATGCCCATCCTTATTCTGGATGACAGTGGGTTCTATAGTTCCAGAGGGGGGTGCAAGAACAACTGGTTCCACCATAGGAAGCCACAGTACGTAGAGGGTGGTCAAGAACAACGGTCCACCATAGGAGCGCACAGGACTCACTTCACACCAAGGCTCCCCCGAAATAGACGTGACACCGAGAGGATAAAATAGGACTGGGACTCAAAGAAGAAAGTTAACATCCATGGACACAAACCACTTACAGAAAAGGGTGAACATTTATATCCCTTTTGAGTAGGAGAGCTCAACCAAGGAAAAACACACTGAGCGAGCGAGGGTCCAAACTTACACGGAGAGGAGAGTGATTATTGGACAAAACAGACACAACCAAATATTTTGGAGGAATAGAAAAACAAGGACAACGAACCGAGGAGTATGTGAAGGAGAGCCTGTTTTGTCCAAGACCTGGATAGGGAGACGTTAATAAGATGCACGGTGAGAAACAAGCGTCGCCCCAATAGGGCCGAGGCACATTTCATAGAAAAAAACACATGCACCGAAGCCATTCAGAAATGCCGTTATTCTTGCGTTCGGCCACCCCATTTTGTTGAGGGTATTGGTGCAAGAGGTCTGATGGATAATGCCAATGAGTTAGATAAATATTGTCCTAACCAGAATCTATGTATCTCCCCATTATCAGAAGAAATATTTGATAGTGCCCCAAACTGAGTACAAATCATCTATGAAAAGTGCGAAAACCAGAGAAAACCTCACTCTCATCATTTCAGAGATACACCCAAGTAGCACGAGAAAAAATTCATCAATAAATGTAACAACCAGCGATTGACCTATTCACAAGACAGAAAAACACGAGAGGGAACCCCAAACATCAGAATGTATTAATGAAAAAGAATGAAGCTTTTATTCAAACGGAGCAAAAGAAAGCTCTATTGTGTCTTCCAACGTACAAGACTCACAAAGAAGTCAGACACATGATGATTGCGAAACTAGAAGGAAATAAAATGCTTAAGTAAATGAAATGAGGGATGCCAAGACGCCATGCCACAGCCATAAATCAGCGGGTTAGTGAAGAGTGGTGGAAGAAATAGCAAGTGCTGTCCGATGATCTAGAAAGAAGAGACCCATTTTCTGCACTACACTGCCATCGTCTCCTCCCCGTGACAAGTCCTGAAAAAGACGAATTATTAGGAAAAACGTTTCACCACTACCAATTTAAATCCTGGGTAGACGACTTAAGGATAACAGATAAACAAGAAAAACTTGGAACAGGAAAACAGAAGATAGATGTATGTAGGAGTGACTTGGACTCCCGAAACCTTTCCAGAAAATGGAAAAACAGTACCATCGGCAATCCTAACTTTGTCCATGACCTGAGGAGGGGCTTATAGACAGAGAAGAAAAGATCAGCAGAGCCAGACATATGATCTGAGCACCAGAATCAATAATCCAAGGAAGATTTATGACACAGGAAAGCACAAGGAAAGATGCTAAGTTACCTGACGGGCCAAAGGACGAGGAAGCGGTATTGAAAGCAGTAGAAATCGGCGGGTCCAACAATTGCGCAAAGCATCCTCCAGCTCAGTATCTAAGAGAAGCTTGATAACAGAAAGCTTAGAATTAGAATCAAGGGTATCAACGGCACTAGACTGAGACCTTGGAATAGAACCACGTCTCTAGATGGCCTGACCAACCTCTATCAGAACCAGGACCGATCACCTTGACCCCGGAGGAGTCCCAATAAGCTACAACACGTCTCACGAGTATTTGCCGCGCTTCTTGCAGATAATCACAGAATACAGACTCCTTAGAGCAAAACGGAGGAGGCAGGCTAAGGCCAAATCTCTGAGAGTAAGTAATGCGGACGGTCAGTAGAGACAGGGACGATGCCATAGCAGACCCGGCGGGGGGGAACTTCTTTTTTTGTCTTTTTTCCCCTTCATTTTTTGACATAAGGGCCCAAATGCCTCCTGAAGTGAAGATAAGAGTGTCCATATCTCAGAACTCGGACCACCTAACGATCATACTCCACATTTAGGCGAGCCAAAAAATTTAAGACCCGTTCCCCGTGCGATGAACTTCTGTATTCCGACAGAATAAGTAGGGCAAAACGGCTTATAGTCTTCCAGGTGGTCAAGGCGTTTCCAGCCGTTGGTGAGGAAAAGTGAAGTACTTCTTTTAAGAACAGTCTGCTCTCCCTGAAGTGAGCTTCAATAGAGCGGCGCAACTCAAATGCCTGTTGAAAAAATTTCCTTTGCGGGAATAGGTAACAGCCACAGCCTCCCAAATGTCCTGGGCAGTCTCCATAGACAAGTAGCCCTCACCAAGTTCTGGAACCATCGAATGGATAAGCCAACTCATAATCAAAGAGTTGGTAATCTCCCATTGGTCATAACCTGAGTCAGTGGTACTAGGTGCCTGTATCCTGCCATCAACATACCCCATCTTCCCTCTGCTCTTCAAAAACATAGTCAAACTTTGAGACCATGCTAGGTAGTTCTGACCATTAAATAGAGAGATGGTGATTTTCAGACTAGAGTTGGGGTTTTCAGTCATGGTAGTAGGTAGAATGAGACTCTTCACTTTTTGGTGTTTGAGAAGAAGGGGGCACACTGGTGGAATCTGTCATGGATACAATACTACCAAACCCGCAATAAAACTAGTGGCAATCACAAACCCGGAATGTGGTGGTGAAAGAACAGGCACAATGACCACTTATAAGAGCATAACAAATTTAAGAAATCATATTATTATTATTTTTTTTTTCTTTTCTTTTTTTTTTGTTTTTTTGTTTTTTTTTTTTATTTTATTTATATATATATATTTACTGATTGATTTATATATATAGAAATGTTTGCTGATTTACATATATATATATATATACATATAGTTATACATGTATTAGGACAGTGGTATACAAAACAGAGGGTATATCATACATACACAGAGACGAGCGACTGATGAAGACGAAGACGACTAAGCCGAAGCCGAAGACGAAGACTGATGAAGACGAAGGCGAAGACTGATGAAGACGAAGGCGAAGACTGATGAAGACGAAGGCTGCTGGCGACTGATGAACTGAGGGACTGAGGGATTAAGGAACTGAGCGACGACTGCTTACGAACTGGAGAACGACCCAGCAGAGGACCAACCTAGGTAAGATCGAACCCTAGAGCTTAAGCTCTGATACCATGAAGCTTGAGTAACCAGCTTAGGGTATGATAGAATATCACCCCCTATTTATAAATGAAGATTAGGGTTTACAAGAAATACAATTACAAGATGATCCCTGAGGGCATAAAATGATTACAGACCCTAGTGTAACTTTCGGCTAATATAATATGCTAACATGTTAAGCCCTGAAGTTGATTGATCAACAATTTCAAATTAGTACATCAAAAAAACACACCTTAAATGACAGGATCATCTTGACTTTCTATGTAACAGTGAGACAAATGTGGGTGCTACAATTCATATTTACAGGGAACATAGATGCAGGGACCTCAGAAAACTTAGTTAAGTTGTTGCAATGCAAACGAGCAAACATGTAATACTTGGAAAGATTGTGAACTTACGAGTGTTGGGTGATGATATGATAATTGTGCAATTAAATTCTGGTTATACTACACCAGATTGCAAGAAAAAAGAACCTACACTGTTGCCAAATCAACATGAAAACGCAGTCCATTCTCAACAACTATAGTCACAAGGGAACGATTTCCAGCTAAAACTTCAAGCTGCATCGTCCTATAATCATTATGAATGGCATCAATCTTATTGACAACTGTTTGTATCTTTGGCTTGTTCTTATCCAAGACTACCTGATAACAAAAACCACCTCTGGCCATTAGAGACAGTTTATGAGAACACATATAATGCCTACTTAATTTCATGACATTGCAAAAACAGTGATAATATTTCTAAAAACAATGTACCTTTGCAATAAGCTTCTTGTATGGAAGATGTTCATCCCTCAGGTTCACATGAGCAATGTGCCCAACTGTTTCAAAAGCTGAAGGAACAATCATACTGTTAGGTAGCAAGGCCTCCAAAATCTGCAAGGAACACATCAAGGATGAAAAAGAAAGTATGAAAATGGAGGATATACGAACCCCAAGGGGAACAAGAAGGGGGAGGAGGAACGAAAGGGATAACTGCAAGACCAAGTGTGCACTAGACAGGAGGCCTCCATTATCACAAGTTCATGTCACAAATATCAAAATTGATTACGATCTATCAGTTTAAAATCTTGTATCACCAAAAATGCCAAGACTTGCCAATGTAAATTTTGTGATTGATGGTAACCTCTTCAACAACATACTTACAAATTTATAATAATTCTTTTTACATCCCTATTTCCAAAAGATTCCATCAACTGTTTCAACAACCTATCATATGTACAGGAGTGCAAACAATGATTTTATTTGTTCCTCCTTTCATAAGGGTTGTGTTAAGCCAGCAAGGAGAGCACGATTTAATCCTTACTTAATGAGTTGTCTTTATATTACCTACTCTGCTCTAAACAATTCTGAATCGCAAACATGCCAAAAGTATTCAAGCAAAAAAGCAATAGCCCAACTAAATTTCAAATTGAGATGAACACATTCATAATTTTAAAGATGAAAAAAGCAACAAGGTTAAAATTGTGAAGAAGAATAGCAGGCAAACAGATTCAGAGAAACATAAAGCAACAAAAAAGAATGACACAAGAAGAAGGCATGCAGACACAAGAAGATTAAAGAAACATGCTTAGAAATGATATTGTTCAGGTTTATTACCTCATTCATCTGCCAGTAATTATAAAACAAAGTCAGCTTGCATCTCACAAGCTCAAAAGATGATGTCGTATCCTCCCTCCCATTCTCATTTAACACCACCTGCAGAGTATGTTTTGAATAGTTGATATATTGTCACCAAAACAAGAAAACTGAAAATCAATCATTTGGAATTGAATCGAAACATGTGCATTCTACCACACTATAAAACATAGAACAAGCATGTGAGTATCGGATAAATTGAAAGGTATCCAGTCCACCCCTCCCAGAAACCCACATTGGGAAGACCAACCCTGTAATGACCTCTCTCTCTCTCTACATGAATGAAGCAATGGAAGGATTTAATTTAGGATGTCAAAGCATACATGTCAAGGACTAACCAGCAGTAGTGAACTCACAGCCAGACAAAATTCTTACTTTCGTGATCACAAGACCACCTACATACTAAATCCATAATACATGGTTTTTCTTTTTTGTAAAAGAGATCCATATCAATGGCTATCAATGGACAAGCTTTCTACGGTCCAGACAAATGAATTGCGACATAACTACCATAAACAGACAATAAATTAATCTAATAATGGACCATGTACGAGGAGAAGAGGCACAGTCACATAGAAAGGTTGCTGTTAAGTTACTAATTTTCCCAAAAGCCTAAACTATTACAAAATGGGCCCAACAATGTATATCAAGCTATCTAACACCCTCCCTCACATACAATCCCGTCTTGCACGTGGAGAGACAAACAAAGAACCAAACAGAATGAGAAGCAAACAACCAAACAGAGAGGAAGATGCCAAACGGGAATATAATACCAAATGTTGATAGGGAGACTTGAATCCAAGAGCTCTCTCAACCAGAGCTTTGATACCATGTTAAGTTACCAATTTTCCCAAAAGCCTAAGCCATTAGGAAATGGGCCAAAAATTTATATCAATCTATCTAACAGTTGCTAACAAAACTGTTTTTTTATAATATCTCTCAATCTACTACATTTCTGCCTTTACATAAGACCCTGGCAACACAAATATAGACTCAACCATTGTAGCCTTAATCAAATTAGGAAACCAAACAATTAATCAACATATTCCAAAAATATAAAATTCCTAAAAATATTTTAACAAAACTCTACAACAAACATCTAAATAATATAGGCTTCGTTTGGGAAGTGGCTATTTTAGTAGGCTATTTGGCTTTTTGGCTATTTTAGTAGGCTATTTTAGTTTTGTGTTTGGAAAGATGGGATGAATTTTTAGTTGAGTTGTTGTATTGGAAAGTGTGTTGAAATGATGTTTAAATTTAAAATGACAAATTTATCCCTAAAAATATATTTTTTTAAATTGATAATTCCTAAAAATATTATAACAAAACTCTACAACGAACATCTAAATAATATAGTAAAAACTTGGTTTAATCTACCAACAGCCTCTGGGCTTTCTATCAATTTCAGCCCCTAATTGGTCTACTGATTTCGAGCAGATACCCCTTTGAAAAAATTAAGCATCCTAACCATACGGGAAAGGTTACTATGTTTACCCTTTTTGGGGTGCATATGGTATGCACCTTATGCAAAATGTATAACTTTTTTTCTTCACAAAAAGTATTACTTTTATCACAAAATGTATAACTTTTTTTCTTCACAAAAAGTGTTACTTTTATCACAAAATATATAACTTTAGTTATACATAACTTACTTTTAGATGCACATCACGACTTCACCATTCATAAATTTTATCATAAAAATTGTAACTTTCATCACAAAAATTCGTAACTTTTATCTCAAAAATCGCAACTTTTATTACAAGTGCACGATGTAGCATTTCCCAAATATCACTAACCCAGAAACAATGTTGTATTACTGCGCATCAATCATCATCCTCTATCATAAACTTAAAGCATTACACAAAGGAATAGAATTAAATGCAAGGGAAATTTCAAAATCACAAGCAACAACTCACAGAGGATCAGAGTGTTGAAACAGACACCTTAATTGCTTCAGGCAAATTGTCCAAGCTTTCGCCGCCATACCTCTCATCCAAAAGCAACAACCGAGTCGAACCCTTCCATCTCCTCCCTTTAAACTCATCCCCAAGCAACCCACTCAAGTCCTCCCCATCCCCATCTCCCTCATCCTCAACAACCTCCACCATGAAAAATTCATTCTTCCCAACAATCCCTTTCCTCTTCCTCTCCTCCCCAACTCCTTTCTTCCTCTTCTTCGGCCTCGACAGCTTCGCCAAATTCCTAAACTTGACAAACCCTAGCGAATTAAAAGTCCTCGCTAACCTATCCCTATACAAAACCAAACTCAATTTCTCACCATCTCCCTCAGCTTTTCCGTAAATTCGCCGATTGAGAGACACCAAGCTCTCGCCTTCACCATCATCAGATTCAGAACCAGAATTCGAATTGGTTTTAAGAAATTTCTTGAAGTCGTCTTCGATTTCGTCACCGGGAACCCTAGCGATGTTGCGGACGCGAGGCCAGTTCAAGAGGTGGCCTCGGAGGCGGCTCTCGAGGGAAAAGCAATGTTCGGAGGGGACTCGAAGGGCTGAGACGTCGTAGACGCGAGCGAAGCTCTCTCTGTCGATTAGGTCGTCGTCGTCGTCTTCTACTTCTTGTTCTTCTTCTTGGAAGTGGTGATGGTGGGGGAATTTGAGGCCTTTGTGGAGGGAGGGGCCATAGGAGAAGGATTGGTCTATGGCGGCAGCGGCGGCGGTGGTGGTGGTGGTGAGGAGAGAGAGGGGTTTGGAGAGAGGAGGGAGGTTGGGGGAGAAGAAGGGTGCAGATAGAAAGGAGAAAGGGAGAGAGTGAGGTCGGAGCATGAATTTAGTGAGCATGGGATGGGGTTAGGTTCGGAATGTTGTGTGGAAAATGCCCGGGAAAATACCAGTTAAGGGAGTGAGTGTGAGTGAGCGAGTGAGTTGAGGAGACGGAGTTGCCAACGGTTGATGGATAAAGGGCACTCGGTGGGTAGGGTGTAAAAATAACTCGAGACTTTTGGGCGGTTTGAAATCTGCTTGAGATTAGAGTGGCCCGGCTTGATTAGGCCTCGGCCTTTTATTTGAAGTCGGAGTGAGTGAGGAGACCGAGTAGCCAACGGTTGATGGATAGAGGGCACTCGGTGGGTAGGGGTGTAAAAATAACTCCAGATTTTGGACAGTTTGAAATCTGTTTTGAGATTTAAGGTGGCCGGCGTAATTAGGCCTCGGCCTTTTATTTGAAGTTGGCTTGGCCCAAAAAATTTTAGATCTTGCAGGGTGGCCCGGCCCGGCCTATTTCACTTAGCTCTCTATCTACCGGTGGTCAAATTTTAAAAAATAAAAATAGAAAACAACTTGTAACAATTAAATAATTTAAAAAATATAAACAAATAACATAAATAAAAAGATTGATCTTACAAAAATAAAAAAATAAAAACAAAAACAAAATAACATAACAATTAAGGTCATTTCCTTACAATGAATGAATTATATATATACATATATATATAATAATTCTAGACCCCCTCTCTTTGTGCTCCGCCCAACCCACCCTTGCATTATCACATCATCACTTGACACCCTCCTTCACTTTGCTTGCAAATTTGAAATTGCAATTGAATGAAAAATAAATAAATAAAATTCAAACAGTTTGCTGCCTGCAGCCTATCTTGCTCCCTACTAGCCTATTTTGTTGCATCTCAATCACTCAACTCACTCTTCATTCATTGAATGAAAAAAAAAAAAAAATCAAACAATCATAAATTAGTAAAGACGGTCATAATTCAAACAGTAATATATATATATATATACATATTATAATTTTATTTCACTCTTTAAAACTACTATAAATAATTCTCAATCTCTCTCAACAAATAATTCTCTCTCTTTCTTTCTCTCTCTCTTAAACTCTCAATCTCTCTCAACTCTTAATTAATTTTGAAGTGTCATCCCTATGTGACAATTGCAATTGTGTAATAAGAAAGTTTTATTAGAAGAAGCTAATTTTTGTATCGCATTCGCCAGTTGGTAACATTAATTAGTTTAATTAAATTTATTAGCTACACATTTTTTTCATTAATTATTTGTGCACATATATTAATTATTATTTTTTACTAATTGTATTTACACATTATTTAAATTAATTGTTAATTCTTATATATTGTTTTACTTACATTACTATGGATCCTAATATGCTTAATGTTTATGTTGATGTTAATACATATACTACACAACATGAATCTGTTGATTCTCCTTCTAATATCCCTCTTCCAATAGTTGGATCACCATCTATGAGCAGAAGTAGTAGTGTTTGGGAACATTTTGAAAAAATATCTATAAATAATCCTGATGGTACAATTACATTTACTGAGTTTAAATAATATTAGTATAAATTCTACAGAATAATTAAAAATTTGGA